GTTGACCACGCCCAGCAGGAACTCATTAGCATAATAGGCCACACCCAACAGCAGAAACTCATTAGGATTGGCTACATTAGGGGTGTGTGGCCTAGCATGCAAAGGAGTTCCTGCTACAAAAAAGCCCTGGGTTTTGACCACAAACAAGGTAAACAGAATAACAAGCAAAAAGTGGGTGTGGCTGGATAACCACACTTCTGGTAACATGGGGGTGCGTCCTAATGTGCTAATGAGCTGTGCTGTCAGGGGTGTGGCCCAATATGCTAATGAGTTCCTGCTGTTGGGTGTGGCCTATTATGCTAATGAGTTCCTGCTGGGCTTTTTCTATAAAAAGAGCCCTGCCTTTACCACACCTCGACTGAAATTGGTGGGACTATGGATTAGGCCTCTGAAAGTGGATTAGGCCTCTGGATGATTAAAATACAATCTCATTCCTTTTGACTCTGGTTTGTGGTTCATGTGATCCCATCCCTAAAACTGTATTATACATCTAATATGTGAAATGAAAAAAATGATGCAATGAATAAACAGTAGATATACACTTTGGCTCAATTCAGACATCATGAAGAAACCCAGCATTAAGGAATGCAGTTTTGGAACAATGTCAGAATTGGCAAGTCGGGGTTGGTGGCCGCTGCTCTGCTTCCATGTGAATGGAGCGAATTTCTGAAAGTGACCAGGTGGAAAAGGAAAACAAAGCAGGTGCTCTGAACCTTGGGCACTTGGAAGATTGGACCATCAACCAGGTTTCACTGAGGAGGTAACCCTGCAGCCTGGGCAGCAAATTTGCAAGTGGAGGCTATTATTATTATCATTGCATGGCATTTTTTTTGTAGTATAGCCAGGAGATCCTAAGATTGTCTGGCAGCCAGAAGTTCTAGCTCTTTTAGCTTTATGCACCACTAGGTGGCGAGCTAGACTTGTTTTTAAGGCAAGAGCCGTTTCAGAGGCAGTTTGCCATTGCCTGCCTCTGCGTCACGACCCTGGTAGTCCTTGGAGGCTGCCCTTCCAAATACTAGCCAAGGCCGACCCTGCTTAGCTTCCAAGATCTGACGAGACTGGGCTAGCCTGGGCTATCCAGGTCATGGCACAAGTGGAGGCTCACCTGAGGGAAGGCTCCTCTGGCCAAATCCTTACACAGAGAAAACTAGCTTGTCAAAGAGGCCAAAGGCCAAACAACACAGTACGCTCTTTAATGTCAGGTCTGGGTCGGGAGCCACCCCAGAAAACAGCACGGATGGAAAGACAGGAGCCCCTCGTCCCCGCAAGCTGAATTGGGCTCCCACAATAAAGACAGGAGCCCCTCGTCCCCGCAAGCCGCAGTCCCGAACTGAATTGGGCTCCCACAGACTTTAAAAATTACCTTCCTCGCAGCTGCTGTGAGGCTGTGGAATAATGTTACCGGCCTCCAGGTGGGGCCTGGAGATCTCCTGGAATGAGAATGAGAATCGGTCTCCAGGCTGCAGAGACAGCAGTCCCCCTGGAGAAAATGGCCGCTTTGAAGGGTGGGCTCTGTGCCATCACACCCCTGCGGAGCCCCCTCCCTTCCCCAAGCCCTGCCCTCCCCAGGCTCCACCTCCCCGAACTCTTCAGGAATTTCCCCACCCAGAACTGGCAGCCTTACTGAAGAAAAAGCAAGTCGGGTCCAGGGAACCCCCAGACTCGGCTCATCAAAACACATAGTGTGTATCTGGGCCTATTCCCTTCTCCCTGACATCCAGTTGCCCATGTGGAGGGACGTTTTATCCGGAGGAGCATTCATTTATGTTCAGTCTTCACTTGCAGTGCAGAGCGACATAGTCCCGGCATAGAGCGGAGGCATGAGCAGGGTTCTAAACCAATGCTCCCTCTAAGCTGTGGAGTCTTGCGAGCAAGAATTCTACTTTGTGAGCTCCTGGCATTAAAGTTGTGCGTGAGAAATTTGGCTGCTGCATAAATTAGTTTGCCCTGGAGCCATCCTTCCTGATCTAAGAGAAAAATGTGTTAGCCGGAGGCTAAAAAACTGAGCTAGCTCACACTAACTCAGCTTAGAAGGAACACTGTTCTCAACTGGTTATCACGAGGCAGCCCTCGGTGCGATGCTTAGAGCAGTCCGATAAATTGACAGGGAAACCTCCGCTTTTGTCTTTGACGGGACAGAGCCACTAAACAGAGAGTCGCTGAAGAGTCACCCACTCGTCTCCAGGTCTCAAGAAGAAGTCTTTCCTAAGGCAGGTTAAGAGGTAAAAACAAAAGTGATAGAGCATTTCTACAGTGCTGACTCCTCTGTGTATTCTGTTCCCTCTGGGCGACTGGATGGGAGCGTCCTCCCACCTTGGCTTGTCAGACGAGAAAGAAAAGACGACTCTTCCGGGGAAGGGACCGGATAGGTCCCCTGCTGCAGGCGGGGCTAACGTCACCCAAGCGATGGGATCCCACCGTCCGTTCTCCGTCTCTTGATCCCACGTGCTCTTCCGGTTGTTTTACCAGATGCGGCACTTAAGGGCAGGATTCATGGGTGACGCGCTCGGGCAGTGGAAGTGCATGGAGAAATCCTGGCTGTTGCTTAAAGAGCCCAGGACACGGAGGGGCGGGGGGCTGTGGGGGTCGCTGCGTAAGAAGCTCTGCAGTCTCTCGAGACTCTGGTGCCCGCACATCGCCTGTGGGAGAGACAAGCCAGTAAGCACCAGACAAATGGCACTGGGCAAGCCATTCCCCCTCCCCCCCACATGTCCTTCAAACTTCCACTTTCCACCCAGCCCTATACACCTGGGTGCCCAGATGCAAGCAAAAGCATGACGGGGACTCTGCAAACAAAATAAATGCATTTCCGAAGCTTTTGGGACCTCACAAGGGGAAGCGCTGCTTGGAGTGGGTGTCATTAGCGATGATGACTGTGCAGAGCCCCTGCCCGAGTCGGCAGCGCAGCCGCAGTCGCCAGCATCGCCAGAGCTGGAAGCTGGCCCCTCTGACTCCTCGGGAGTTGACAGCTTGGCGCCACCAGTGCCTGAGCCAGTCGTCCCCACACCTGGTCTGGCAGCAGCCAACGAGGCGCAGGTGCAAACAGAAAGCCCGCCTGATTCACCTCCGGGGGTGGCTCAGGTGAGGGAGCGGCTCCGCAGGGACTTAGCAACCCACCGCCAAGATGCACGCTGGTAGGGAAGGCAGGTGCCGAGCCCTGAGTACTGACAGGAGCAGCACCGCCGCTAAGGGAAGCACTGCCGGAGGCCTATATAGCTCCCGCTCAGGGTGGGCTCTCCGTGGAAGCAACAAGTCACATCCGTGCTGACCTCACGCCCACCCTCGGTTCCTGTTTCAGGACCTCGCTCCTGTTTGGATCCCTGGCTTCCCGACCTCCTGCTTCAGACGACTATTCTCTTGGACTCTCAACTTGGCTCCTGTTTTGTCTCTTCTGGCTACGACTCCTGGACCGGACCTGACTCCTGGCCCAGCTCGTGACAATGGGGCAATTCGGAATGGAGAAGTGGAAAGTGGGGAAAGGGGTTAACTGCCTCCCCCACTGCTTCTCTCTACTGCCTCTCTCCAAAAGTGGTTTTCTATTTTACAAAAAAAACCCCACATAACTGGGGAGCAATTACCTATGTTGGTGTGTTGTTGTACCCCTAACCCATTCAGGCAGAACAAGAACACGGTCTGTTCAAAGAGACCCTGAAAAACCAGTGCTGGGTCTCCCCCTCCCCACTCCCAGCGTCACCACTGTCATTGGCTCCCTACCCAGCTGCCATTCATTTTTCCCTCCCGCCCCCCACCGGTCTCCTTTGGCTCACCACCAGTGTCCATGTAAAACTGGGGTGGCCAAACTTGCTTAATGTTAGAGCCACGAAGAATAAACGTCAGATGTTTGAGAGCCGCAAGACAGGAACAGATGTTACATGTTTTTACTGGGAAACGTGCAGATTTGCCTTTTATTAACATTCAATGAGACTGCCCTAAATAATATCAAAAGCGGTAAAAGCAGATATTGATCATGATATTTATTTGCCCAATTATATTTGTTTGCTAATGATATTTCGCTTCCCCAGGCGCCAGACAATAGATGTGAAAGAGCCGCATGCGGTTCCCGAGCCACAGTTTGGCCACCGCGATGTAAAAGCTAGACATTAGTGCATTCACAGACATCGTGAAAAAGAGGGTTTGCCCCCAAATTAGGGTATTTTTATTTCTAAAAAAATTAGATTCTGCAGAACTGTAGCTGTTCCCAGCCCATGGTGTGCATTTGTCTCTCTGCACAGGGTTTAGCCTTTAGCTGTCATGTATCAGCCAATAGGAGCTGCGGTGGCTCAAAGGGTTAAGACGCTGAACTGCAGGCTGTGGACGGTCAGTAGTTCAGCAGTTCAAGACCCGAGTTGCCGCATGACGGAGTGAGCTCCCGTCTCTAGTTCCAGCTCCTGCCAACCTAGCAGTTCGAAAGCAAGAAATTGCAAGTAGATAAATAGGGACCACTTCGGTGGGAAGGTAACAACGTTCTGTGCCCCTTGGTGTTTAGTCATGCCAGCCACATGACCACGGAAACGTCTTCGGACAGCGCTGGTTCTTCGGCTTTGAAACGGAGATGAGCACCGCAACCCTAGAGTCGGACTCGACTGGCTTTCAAGCAAGGGAACCTTTACCTTTACCTATCAGCCAAAACTGGACTCCTGAGCAGCTCCCATGATTCAAAATCTAATATAAACAACAATTCAATTACCATTGAACATATTTCCTGGATAGGAGATGCTCCAGAGAGCTGGAATATATTTGCTCTACAAGAAAACATAAAGAAAGGCAGTCAGGGAGCAATGCTCCCTCTAAGCTGTGGAGTCTTGTGAGCGACTTCTATTTTGTGAGCTACTGGCATTAAAGTTGTGAGTGAGCAATTTGGCTACTGCGTAAATTAGTTTGCTCTGGAGCCATCCCTTCCTGAGTTCAGACAAAAATGTGTGAGCCGGAGGCTAAAAAACTGTGAGCTAGCTCACACTAACTCAGTTTAGAGGGAACACTTTATATGCAGCTTTTTTAGATCTCAGGGGTGCCTTTGGCTCTGTTCCTAGAGATATCCTGTGGAGGAAAACGAAGGGACCTGGGGATTGATGAGCGATTGCTTTTTTTGATTAAAAAGCTCTATTCTGAGACTACCTGCCAGGTTAGATGCTCAAAGATGGGTGATTTAACTCCTAAGATCCCAATTACTATTGGAGTTAAACAAGGGTGCATTTTGGCGTCCCTTCTGTTTAACCTATTTTTAAATGACCTGGCTCCCTTCTTAGAAGGAACTGATGGACATAATCCAAAATTGAGGGCGACCCATGTCCCGTTATTCCTGTACGCAGATGATGCGGTGCTTCTTTCCCTCTCGGAAATAGGGATGAAAAGGATGTTATCTTGCTTTCTAGGCTATTGTGAACTGAATAAACTGACCCTAAACTTTGATAAGTCCAAAATAATCACTTTTGGAAAAAACTGGAAACCTGTTAAGTGGAATATTAGAGGACAAGTGATTGAACAGGTCAAAAATTTTAGATATCTAGGAGTCTATTTCCACTACAGAGCTGGATGGGATACTCATATTAAAGAAGTGTTAAAATCTGTGAAAAGTAACATTCTCGCGATTTCCCGCTTTTTCTATACTAAGGGGAACCAACATATCCCTGCAGCTCTTTGAGTATTTAATTACAAAACTAGCGTCAAATTGCTCTATGGCATTCCAATCTGGATCTCAGCTTTTAATAAAGCAGTTGAACGTGTACAATCTAAGTTCTTAAGGAAAATCTTTGGGCTGCCAGCATGTGTGCCCTATGCAGCTATTTGTTTGGAGACGAATCAAAGGCGCCTAGAGACCAAAGCTTGCATCACAGCAATTAAATTTTGGCTCCATTTACATTTCAGATGTAATTCCAATAGTCTAATTGCTCACATGCTAACTGAATCACAATCTTCTGAGTGGATGTCCTACATAGGGAAAAAAATTCTGTAATTGGGTTCAGTTTGGACGACCTTGTGTACCTTTCTGAGAGGTGTGTTTTTGCTTTAATCAAGCAAAGACTTATTGATATTGAGATGCAAGAACTTAGAAATCTTGCCTCTGGTAGATGTCCCCCTTTGTGGTGGGGGATGTCTACTAATGGTGTTTTGGCTGAGTACTTCTCTAGCTTGACTATTTCTGAGCATCGGAGGGCATTTATGTTAGCTCGTTTTAATGTTCTTCCCTCTGCGGTACTGTATGGGAGGTTTAAAAAAATGCCATACTCCTCTAGGCTTTGTTCTTGCGGTCTGGGGGAGATAGAAAGTACTGAACGTGTTCTCCTGTACTGTATTACTTTACTTTGATATTCATGCCATATATCTTGAACCAGGGCTTTTTTTTGTAGAAAAAGGCCAGCAGGAACTCATTAGCATAATAGGCCACACCCAACAGCAGAAATGCATTAGCATATTAGGCCACACCCCTGATTGCACAGCTCATTAGCATATTAGGTCACACCCCCATGCCTTCCCTTGGCTTGCCCAGGCACCCCGTGGCTGCAAGGAGCCCGGGGAATCCGGCCCTTGGAGGGGAGGGGAGGTAGGGGAGGCATTTAAATACCACCTCAAACTTCCAGCCCCCCCCCGGCCTGCCCGCCTCAGAGTCGCCGGGAGGGTCGCTCTCCAGGCCTTCCCTCTGTAGCCACACATGCACAGAGGTTTCGGCTGTAGACATGGATGTGGCCAACTCAGAAGCCAGCCGGAACTCCATTCCTATGCGTTCCTGCCCCAAAATAGCCCTGTCTAGAACCTCTGCTACAAATTCGCAAGGGTCAATCTGATGATTGCAAGACTGTTTTTTACTATCTTCCCATAACTCTGAGATCACTGATTTGGTGGCTAAATTTCTATGTTGTGCCATTAAGAGGAGAGGAATGTTTCAACTCCAGCAATGAAGGTTGTACCCTTTATCCCTTGATGATCTATGTTTTGTTGTGATGCCAATAAAGGTAGCTGATGATGATGAGTTCGTCCCATTGCCAAGAAAACATAAAGAAAGGCGGCATGGGAGCAATGCTCCCTCTAAGCTGTGGAGTCTTGTGAGCTACTTCTACTTTGTGAGCTACCGGCATTAAAGTTGTGAGTGAGCAATTTGGCGACTGCATAAATTAGTTTGCTCTGGAGCCATCCTTCCTGAGCTCAGACAAAAATGTGTGAGCCGGAGGCTAAAAACCTGTAAGCTAGCTCACACTAACTCAGCTTAGAGGGAACACTGCACGGGAGGATAGGAAACGGCAAAGTGAGGCTCATTCTTCCAAAGGCCAGCCAAAACCAATGGGGGCAACCATGAAAGAAACGCAAAAGGCGCCTTACGTGGGCAAAGCTGATGAAGAAGAGCTGGTGGTGTGAGACCCCAGGCCAAGGTAAGTCCTTCACCCATCTGTGCTTGGCCAACCAGTTCTTATAGGCCTGCCGGCAAGAGAGAGAGAAAAACATTAAAACTGCAGACCTCAAACTACGTCTCACGATGTTATGCATGAATAAGAACTTCCACAATCCCATTGTAATGGGGAGAAGAAGAAGAAGAAGATTGGATTTATACCCTGCCCTTCACTACCCGAAGGAATCTCAGAGCGGCTTACAATCTCCTTTCCCTTGCCCTCCTCTCCCCACAACAGACATCCTGTGAGGTAAGTGGGGCTGAGAGAGCTCTTTCGAGGACTGCTCTTGACAGAACAGCTCTGAGAGAACTTGTGACTGACCCAAGGTCGCACCAGCAGCTGCAAGTGGAGGCGTGTGGAATCAAACCTGGTTCTCCCAGATTAGAGTCCACCAAACCAGACTGGCTCTCAAGGGGGCAACTTCAGTCCAAGCAAACTAACTAAAGCTTTTCACCCATTGAATCTTACAGTTTTTTGAATGAAGAAGAAATTTTCTCATGAAGGAAAAAAATGCCACGGAAATTATGACCCGGTTCTTTATCTCTCTGTGTATATATAAGTCGTGCCAATTCAATTAATACTTGAGAGCACAGAAAGGTACCGAGTAGCCAAGGTTACCAACATAAACAGAATACTCCAATAAGCTTTGAAGAGTGTAACTCTGTTTAGGATTCCACTGTTAATCTTATGCATGTTTACTCAGAAGCAAGCTTAATGTGCAACCCGATCCTGTGCAGCCGGGTTGCTGTTCCCAACAAACAGTAGTTTGGACTGCAGCCTAGGGGGAGAGCAGAAAAATGAACTCATTCTTTTCACTGGCCTTTTTCTTTTACGGAATTTAGCCACGGGGGGGAGGGGGGGGGGGGTGCCTGTGAAAGGGCAAGATCTGAACCTCATTCCAATGCACGATTTCCCCACAGAAAATGGTCAGTCCCCCTGCCGCTTTTTCTCCTAGTGGGGGGAAAGGGGTGCTGCTCTTGGCTCCAACAGGGCCACAGCCGGGTTGCCAACCTCCAGGTGGGGCCTGGAGACCTTCCTGGCATGCCAACTGTTCTCCAGACTACAGAAATCAGTTCCCCTGGAAGAAATGGCTGCATAGGAGGTTGGACTCCAGGGCATTATACCAGGTTCCACCCCCCCCCCAAAAAAAAAACCTCCAGGAATTTCCCACACCAGAATTGGCAACCCTAAGCTTGTGAGAGGAGGTCAGTTTTCTGTAGGAAAAGGGGAATGTGTGGGAGGGAATAAAAAGGTCCCTCTCCCCATCATACCCCTATCTTCCCCTTCAAATCACACCCTCAGCAGATGCAGTGTAGTGGTTAAGTGCGCGGACTCTAATCTGGGAGAACCGGGTTTGATTCCCCACTCCTCCACTTGCACCTGCTGATGTGACCTTGGGTCAGTCACAAGCTCTGGCACAGCTGTCCTTGAAAAAGAGCAGTTTGTGTCAGAGTTCTCTCAGCCCCACCCACCTCACAGGGTGTCTGTTGTGGGGAGGGGAAGGGAAAGGAGTTTGTAAGCCGCTCTGAGACTCCAAGTGAAGGGCGGGGTATAAATCCAATTTCTTCTTCTTCTTCTTCTTCTTCTTCTTCTTCTTCTTCTTCTTCTTCTTCTTCTTCTTCTTCTTCTTCTTCTTCTTCTTCTTCTTCTTCTTCTTCTATGTAATTTCTGCACAAAGCTCATTTAATTTGGGCAGCGTGCAAGCCATGACAGAGGGAGCATGGGAGGAGAGAGAGAATACTGGTACTTTGTCAACTCCAACGAGTGCTTCCCAACCTGACTTTTCAGTGGCCAGAAGAAAGAGACAGGGGTACCCGTGCTGGAAGAAATCCTCAAAAAGACCCAACTCCCAGTTGGTGAGATGGGGGTCTTTGCATGATTAACAATTGGTTTAACAATTAACAAACCAAAGGTCTAAAATGTAGTGACGGTGCTAACAGAGAACCCCACTGGAAGCAGGCACATAGCCAGGACAATCGTCACCAAGTCACATTTTACAAAGCCTCGTGTCCTGTACATATATTTGTCAATCAGAGGTGTGTAGGACGGTCACATGATCATAACTTAATTCTCAGGCACCCACGGGCCCAATTCAGATGAGGACCTCAGCACACAGGGAAGATTCCCCCCCCCCCCCCGGTGCCATTTTCCTGGCCTGAAATGTTCCTGTGGAGGCACTGATGGGGAAACTTGCATGGACTGTTGTTGAAATGTCAGTTTCCCTGGTGGAACAAATGGCAACTCCCCAGGACCACTTTGGGTCAGGAAAACACTGGGGCTTAAGCCCCCTGTCTCCACATGCCAGTCCAAATCAGGCCTACACATGCCTGTGACTTAAGGTCTAAGCACAGAAATCCCAGGCCAGATCTGTTGACTGGAAAAGTAGAGGACACATATCTATGTACATGCATTCCTTCAGCTGTGAAGGAATACATGTGCACAGAATGAACAAAGGAAGAGAGTATGGAGATGCAAAAAGAAATCAGGTGAAATATGGAAAAGGGAATGCAAACACATCTGAAGAGGGAGTGGTAGGAACATAGGGTTGCCAAGTCCATCTTCCACCCCCAGAGGGGGACTTTGGGGGTGCCACCCCCCCCACCCGCCCCTGCGCCAGATCTCCCGAAACGGGAGTTCCCCGCACTTAAA